GGGGGTGTACGTGACGTCACAGGGTGCGAGTCTCAAGCCAGTTCGCAACTCACTTGGAGCGAGTAGTTCGCGCTCGCAATTCACTAAAATTTTTAGGAGGATCCAGCTCTAGTCACAATATAACAAGGGTATAAATGAACCCCCCCCCCCAAAAAATGATCAGCTTGGTGGATAAACTTAAAATAGCACAGAATACTAAACAAAATCTATCGTTTAGTCTAATTTTGAGTTGAAAGGCCAGTGAATTTGTAGGCCTATGTGTTTACTAAGTTCTATGTTCTTCAAAATTTTACTTGCAAAGTATTCTATAATTATTATATTTTATCTTAGGAAAAGGCCTAAAAATTCAAATAAGTTTTGAAATGGACTAACTAAACTATTCAATTCTGCTAGCTTTGTTCCTATTGCATCACTTTGAGTGTTATGCTTGTTTAAACAAATAAGCTGTTATTTAAGATGATAAAAATGATTGTAATTTTTAAAAGTTTGGAGTTTGCCAATAACCGTGTTCTATGATTTAACTTTCAAATATCCCATCAGACCGAAGGAGCTCAAGTTCCCTCGAGCACAGCTTATTCCTAAGAAGGGCACCGTATACGACCACGTGTTCATCCGCAAGCAGTACGGCTCATGGAACCCCTGGACCAACCTGGTGCAAACAGTCAACATTGATGAAAAAGCTCAGGTGAAACTTTTAAAACTTTTTTGTCTTAAAACGCTGGTTCTTGCACAACTATTGGATGTGGATTGGACAACAGCATAGTTGTAACATTAACATCTGATGAACTACTCTGTCATCTTGTGAAAAAAGACAATATGTTACCAGACAGTGCTGTTTTCTATTTTGACTATGTATGATAGACATGTAGACAGGTAACAGATGCCTCTAGTAGGCCATACTTTTTTCCTGTCAAGGAATTAATTCCCTCTGTTTTATGTTTTTGCTTTTTTTTTTTTCTCGTCAAAAACTGCCTGATGAACTGTTTACTTGAAAAAGAGTACTAACATGATAAATGATTCTGTTGCTGTAAAATGTCAACAGCTTAGAATTTTATTTGTATGTACTATATGAATGAATTTTAATTTTCTGTGTAGTTATTGCACTCACAACTGTGAAACAAACTGTAACACAAGAAAGTTCAAAATATACAATTTAATTTCTCTTCTGCCTTTGCTATGGAGAAAAATCTGCTCCACTCTTGTTTTTTCAACTTTCTCACTGTACTGTGTCTTTTTTATATTATATTGCTGTGATTGCATTAATGAGAACTCCCGAGACCTTTTTGTTCTTAACCTCTGCATTTGCAGTTGCAGTTACATTTTCTTTTCCTTTCTGATGAGTAACATTGTTCACTGAAAAATTGTTTAAAGTGCAAAGCTAACAGACTGACTGAAATAGACAGAATTACACTTGTGTTTCAAATTTGAAACAATCTTGTGATTATTTGTTAAGTATGATTTTTTTTCTCCCCCAAACTTTCCAGGCGATACAGGTAATCACTATTTTGTAGCTTGCATGCAAAGCTTGTAGAAATAGCTTATTTTTATGTGTACTCTCACTTGATATTTTAAGTCAAATCTTTTTTTTTGTATGTCCTCTTTCTCAAGTGACCATGATGTTATATATCATGATCACAGGTTTGTGAATATTTTTTGTGTAATTGAAAGATGGTAATTAAGTTTTCTGAAAGGTTCCTTGAAAATATAGAGCTTCCATGACAATGATCAGGACTCGTTTTTGGCTGGATCAGCAGTTCCAGCTCCTTTGATTGTTTTTTTGTTCTCAGAGTTTTGTGTTTACTTTCAGGTTGTTTTATTTTTTCAGGCTGTGTGCTTTTATGAGAAACAATAGTTTCACTCAGGTGGTTCTTTTATAAGTTTCCATACTTTCAAAGAAACTGTGCTTTGATTTCTGAGAATGTGCGTGAGGCTTCAAAATACCACAGTAATGGTCTTGAAAATTCGCTTGAGTGTTTTAGGCTGGGTGTTTAGGTAGTCTTGATCTCCCATACATATTTGCCATCACACTTTCTTTTCTTTTTTTCTTAATTGTTGGGCTGTCTAAATCTTGAAAAAAAAGTCAAAGGGTTTTGCGCTGGATTTGTACAAACTTTATATACCAAAGTAAAATTTTGATAATTAGTACCTGAGCTCTTTCCATGCTTTGAGGAAATGGCTAATATCTTATTGTAAATATTGGAAGAAAAGAAATTAAAATTTGAAAACTTAAGACTGAATTACTTCTCATTTGTAGGCAACTACATAATCCGATAAAAAATCTTCATACTCTGTGACCTGTCAAGGTTGAAGACAATAAATACTGATCTTGAAGACATAAAAAAAAACTGCAGGTGAAACAAAATTTTACCTCATTGAGATTAAGTTAGTATCGATACTCAAAGCGGTTTGAGTTTCAGAAACGCTTATGCTTGCGGTGAAAAAAATGTCTGAAGGAAGTGTGTGTTTGTATGTGAGAAAATGGTAAATTTTGCTTTATATTGTGGAGGTTCTGGGTTCAAGTTTATTTTCTAGGTTTCAAGTAGCAAAATAGTTGTTGGAAGTATATGTGTTTGCCTATATGATGAAATGGTGAAATATTGCTTTTAAGCGTTGAGGTTCTGAGTTAAAGTCTAGCGTTTCAATTGCAGCAGTGAAGTTTTCAGTTTGTTAATGGAATTTTTCCATGATTTGATATAAAACAATTCTCTCCTAATTCGGGAGATTTTATCAAAAGAGATACATCTTATGATGGTCTGTTTGGGATAGACAAACAAATGTTGTAGGCTATATTATATACACAGTTTCTTGTCATATGATGGATTGAAAATGATGTGGTCACCTTTACTTTTCAGTTTGCACATGAATTATCAGCGTATATGTATTCTGTGTGTATTGCTCACTGCACATATTTTCAGCCATATTTATATATAAGGTCCATAGCAAGTTAATTCACAAAGTGTACTCATTCACACACATCTCTCACCCTCACGTCTTCCGTGATCGTATTTCTTAAAGAACAAGCCTCAGGGTTCCTTCACTACGGGTGACATGGTAAGTGGTAGAATACCGCTTATCTCAGCTCATAGAATACTCTATGCTCTTTATTTTATTCTGCTTGTACTGTAGAAAGTATCTAGTGCGGCATCATGATTTCAAGTTTGGTATCCATGTATACATATGTACTTTGTATGAAGATTTTCAGAGTTTTTCTTTTGACAGAACTTGTTTTGGTTCTGATTTGTTTTCTTGAGTTTTCTGGTACTGGCCATGATTATATCAAGAACGCTTTGGATTCAAGCTTGTCTTGTTAAAAATTTGTGAAATTTTTGTTTGGTTAACTTGGAGAATAGTAGATATGAGATTTATCTTGAATCTTTTTTTTATGCTGGAATTTTAAGAGAGAGAGAGGGAGGGAGAGAGAGAGCGAGATACAGAGAGAGGGAGAGAGAGAGAGAGAGAAAGAGAGAGCAAGAGAAAGAGAGAGAGGGAGAGAGAGAGAGAGAGAGAGAGAGAGAGAGAGACACACAGAGAGAGAGACAGAGAGAGAGTGAGTAGGAATGAGTGTTCATTATTTTCAGTGATTAAATGTACAAATCCGACTGTCCACAAAATTATAAGTGCGTTTATTTTTATTTGATAAATGACAATGATAAATGTGAAATCTTCACTTGGCATTCAGCTTAGGGGTTGTGGTATCTCTATTTGACCTGTTGAACCCTCTTTGTAAGATTCTTTCTGTTCCTTATATTAATGGACAGCCCTTTTTTTCTTACATAGTACAGATGTATTATGTTTGCTTTGATATATCACCTGTTGAATGAAAGAGTGGATAGATAAAATCATGATTTTCTAATGATTGGCCTATATTACACGATTTGTACTTATTGGCTTTTGCAGCTTCTACTGCTTCAAAATATTTGTCTGCTTCTGCTTTTTACAAGATTATCCATTTCCTCCCCCCCCCCCCCCTTAACATGTATATCAACTTTGTAGCTTTGGCTAGCAACGAAATAATCTATTTCTTGAGATAGGGGGGAAATCCCTATAGTTAGACCCTTTAAAATGAAGGCTTTATCTTTTTTTTTCAATGGACCGTGCATGTTGTGTGGGGCAATGGCCATGGCCTTTAAAACAACACCTCCAAGGAACATGGCTGTACCGTACAAGTGGGAGAATTCTAATCAGTTCCACTGCTTTAAAAAAACCCACTGTATATGTGGAATCATTGAAATATAAATGCCCGTGAAAACACATTTTGTCTATATATGTTCAAACAATAATTAACATGTCTTCTTTCATATTCTTTTATATCGACAAGGCTACCAGGAGAGTTGGTTTTATTCGGACTTTACATGTTTTATCCCTTTAGCAGACAATTGTATAATTGCCCCAAGGGATAAAAACACAGCCTCTAGCTATGCTAAAATGGCAGTGTGTTCAGGAAATGTCACATTCAGTGAGTGTGAAAGAAAGTGGAGGGGAGGGGGGTGTTCGTTTAGCTCCTTTGGGGGTCTGGGTGAATATCTTTATAGCTATATATATCTGTGTCTTTCATGATAAAACAAATATTTAATTTGACCTCGCATTATATTCCTTTCAACAATGGCTTCAGACATTTTTTTTTTTTGCTTCTTATGTCTAAAGCTTTGAACACGTATGACTGCAAAGTTTATATAGATATGCGTTTTACCAAGTGCTTGAAGGCTTCTGCAGCTCATGCAGTCTTTAATGAAACTTATTTGAAGCAGATGTTGTTAAATTTCGTGCTTTGTGCTGCTTTAACACTTTAAACTTTGCCTTATTCTGACTTACACACACATGCACTCACATACAAACATGCACAAACACACACACACACACACACACACACACACACACACACACACACACACACATACACACACACACACACGCGCGCGCACCTATATGTTGACTTGTTGTTCTGCTTCAGCCAATAGTATCATGATGTTTTTTTTTTAAACAATGCCGGCTTTTGCTGCTTCTACCCCTGAAAGCTGTGAAACCAGTTTCTGGAGTAATAACTTACTCTTGACAACTTCGCATTAATCTGCCTTCTAAACTATTATTATCACTAACTCAAACTCGCATGCTGCTGTCCCCTCCATACATGCATTCTTTATTGTACAAACTATAGATTTGAAGACAGCTATAATTTCTTTTCTATTTGCATTGCAATATAGTTGACTGCATAGGCTTATATGTGCCTTGATTTCATTGTTACTGTTTTATTATTAACGCCCGTAAACTATATTTTAATATAATGTGAGAAAGTATCACACCCAACGCTTTTTCTGGTTATATTAAAGTACATATATGCTTTTTAAAAACATTTTGATGTGGTAAACACTTGAAAAAATTTGTATAGGGGACTTAGTAGGAACTTACAAGTGTAGCAATGATTTGTTGAAGATCTTTGATGAAAGAAATCTGAAGAGAATTGATGAGAAAGCAGGTTTAGATCTAGCTGGTTCAGGTATTTGGCTGAAGTGAGTTGAAAAAAATAAGTGATTGTATTCTCAGTAAACTTTGCTGAATGATAATATCAAGGAAGATGTTAATGGAGGTATTGAGTACACTTTGATAAAAGTAAATATGCGCTCAATATTGACATTTGTAGCAAAAAGAACATTATGCCATAGTAAAAATAACTAATGTAATTGGTATCATTGGGTTATTATACAAATAATGCAATCAATAGCT